ACACACACACACACACTCCATCCCAGGCCTGGAGACACTAATGTTCAGTTTAACTTTCGACTGAAACAACATATTTGGTCATCAGGTCCTGTGCAGCTTCTGTAAATGATCGGGTACGAGCAGCCTGGGCGCCTCTGGTCTCAGCCCAGTTTTACATTTGCTCTGCAGGTACCTGCAGGGGTCATAAGGGTGTTTGATGTGACCGTTTACAGCTCCACACCGGTGTTTAGTCGCATCCAGTCATACTGCCGGGAACTGCAGGAATAATGTGTTTCTCTGTAAGAGACAGGATGAACCACTAATGACTAGCTGTCACAGGAAATTAATTCACAACACAAAAAATCCATTAGCTTGAGCAACACACAAAAAAAGCGCAAGATATACAAGAATCTGTTGAGGGTGGACAGGATGCACGAAAGGGCAAAGGAGGACCTTAGTCACTGACCACATGTGAGTCAAACCCAGACATGGTGGATAACTCAGAGTCAGACAGTTTATGAGAGGCCGCAGGCAACTGCCCTCCTGGGGCGAGCACACCGACACAGTGATGAATATCTGTAAACAGAGTGAGAAAACACGTCTGTTTACAGCAGCTGTAGAACACTAACTCTACCATCACTGCAGCAGTCCATCACTTCAGTGCTATACGCTGATAATAACCCACAGTTCACCCATCAGATGAGGAGTGATAACGTCTTGACGGCCGATACAGGTCGTGTGCACAGTGCCAAGATGCTGTCAGGCGTAGCCATAGTCCGTCCTGATGCAGAAAGAGGATAAGAGTTAATTATGGGCTCAGCATTACATCACCTGAGAGCTGTATATGAACCCTGTGATCAAGAGATAGACGTGTCTGTGAGTGTGGAGCAAACTGGAGCAGCAAGGAATGGAGAAACAAAGACAAAGCAACAGCTGAGTGACGTAAATGTTTAATTAACTCAGATGAAGCTGCTCTTCTGGGGGGGTTGTGAAATCAGAGCAGGCGGAGAAAGAGGAATGTTGTGGTTTATCAGTGATGCTCAACATCTGAACATCCCTTTCTGACTTCACTCTGACAAACTAAACCCACATAATCCACGCTGACTGAAAACAGAAGCTCCACCAGCACAGAAATGAGACTTCAACTATTCTCTGAAAATGAAGCCGCTTCTGGTGAAGTCGGATACCTTTGTGGCCTCCGGCATCTGTTTTCATTCATGGCTTTTGCCTTGTCTAACCTTTTCTTTACTTGAATAAAAAGCTTAGTTGGACTTTGTGAGCAGAGGGGAAGTGGGCAGCAATGAAAACAACAGCATCTAAAATAGGATCTCTCCATATCTGGCTCAAAAAACTCTGGAGATTTCCCGTTGCCATGTGGAGACACATGTCTGGTGATCCCAGCAAATCTGGTCAAAACACATCTGGGTTCAATTCTCTTTATCTCGACTAGAGTGGCTGTTGATGTAGCATCAAAAGAAAAAGCCTTCCTCAAGATCTGGTGCACGCTGCTCTGACAGGCAGCCGCTGTCACTTAAGAAATGTCAAAATAATCAGCCGGATCGGATTTAATGAGAAACTGATGGACTTCAAGGGAGCTTATCTTTGCTCTACACCCAAAGAAAGTGGTCCACCATGTTAGCATAGAGGACATCAAAGAGAGAAAGATTCCACCGTGACTTTAAGAACTGCACGTTTTGAAGATAGATGCATTTTTACCGTCCGTTTTACCAGAAGTTTTTAGTCTCAGGTGTTCAGCTGGGTGGATCTGACTGAAGCTGAAGGCCAGATGTGCTAAAAACTAAAGCTAGTTTAAATTCTTAGAGGTAGAGACATCAATGGCCCTTTGTAAAGACTACAGGCAACAGTTTTACAGTATTTTCATTTTATATTTCATACTTTTTATCTGTTAGTTCGCAGGTGATTTTACATACAGAATAAATTATTACTGTATCTTATAAAACATTTTATAATCTGCCCAACAGTATATAAAGTAGTTGTATCTCATTATATGCACAATAATTGTTGCTGGACCTGGTACACTATCAGTAAATTTACATTGTCACCTTCATATCAATCTCAGCTCAGGGTCTGGTAGCGTAATCTGCATCTTCATCAGCCGATGGTGTTTGTTCAGTTGTCATGGAGACGGCTCAGTTTTCATCACATGACCTAAATTATAGTGTGTAAAGTGTTGTGACAGGTCTAGGTGGAGCTGAGTGCTTAAATACCATTGGAAAGTTTATTCTATAGCAATTCAGCATATTTTATAAGCACATTTTATATTTTGTTTGTAAAATATGAAAGTAATTAGGGACTAAAGCTTCAAATGTAGAACATTAACAAGTAACATTAAATGGAAATACCGTAAAACTTTTAACACATTTTGACAAATGAGCGCAGGTTTAAACCTCTTAAAGCCCATTTTAGGGTAGAGTACTGGTATTTTCATACCCGGCGAGGATCAAATTAATGATTCGTAATTGATATGTTATTCCAAATCCTTGATAGTATTTCTTTGCCGAGCAAGAGTTCAGTGACTGAAGCAAATACAAGCCCAGGCTTTTTCACGGCACTCCGGAAAAATACAAGTTCTTCAAGTGCTTCAAGTGCTTAAGTGCATTACTTGAGTAAACATACTTAGTGATTTTAGTTGGATTGTTGCCATACAAGCAGTGTCCAATGTTGCTGTCTTAAAGGTATTTATCAGTCCATTTGCGTTACAGCCACCATATAAAATGTGTATTAAAGTCCTAGTTATTGTTGGCTCGCATCCGTTAAACAACGTTTCACTAAAGCAGAATAATCAGGTGGTTTAATTTGACCTGTGTAGGACTGGTGCGAGCGCTAACTGGGTCAGAGACGCCAAGAAATGAAGGCAATGTGAGATTCAGCCACTCATGAGCAGAATTCTCAGTTTTTTCCATTGGCAGCGAACGAGAGGAACAACTGACTCAGTCCCTCAGATTTAAATTCAGCCATACTCCAAAACCCCCCCTCTCTCTCTTTCTCCCCCNNCCCCCCCCCCCCCCAACTTTTCTTTTACCACTCTTTCCTTCTAATGTCTTTACCTCCCCTTCTCTAATGTAACTCTGCTGCTCTTTAGATCTTCTTCTGTCCATTCTCTTGCCTCCGTCCTGGTGAGATTTAAGTATGCGGCTTATATGTCTGGCTGGAGAAAACCAGATTCACAATAAAAAAATATACAGTGGAGGTTTATACAGGCAGCTTCAAACAAATAGTGCTTTCGACACTTGGCAGCACTGTTATACACAAAAAGAGAGCCACTATTAAGTCAAAAATATACACAACAAAGTTAAACCCAGCCCTGTGCACTTCCTTATCTGGATTTAATTCTTTGTTTCTTTCAGTAAATAGATGCAAAGACAGTTTCACTTCCTCTGAACATTTAATCATTTGTGTTTTAACCACAGCAGCTATAAATGCACATGGTATCTTACTTTTCGTTCTGTTTTTCAGGAACTTGTGGTTGGCTTCTTTTATAGTGCATCCGGAGAACAAAACACAGCTCAGTCTCACAGGAATGACAGTATGTGAGCGTGTGATAATAGGTGGCACCCACATGTCCCGCGGGGGGTGACATCACATACAAACTGCCTGGTGTCATGGTCACATTTTTGAATTATGGATACTTCCTTAATTGAGTGATTTTACAATGTTAAGTACCAACTGGGCACTGTGTACCGACTGGTTTGTAGACACTGCTGTATAACTTGATGTTGAAGCCGTAGCTTGAGGAGGATATCTGTATTAAAAAACGGACTTTTAAACCCTTTTTAAGTTCAGCAGAAACAAAATGGTACAGAAAAGAAAATGTCCTTCAAGGATTTATAGACTAGACACACAGCAAGAAGAGATTATATCAAGAAGCCTTTATTTAGTCGGGCATATAGGTAAAAAAAAAACAGGTCCACACAGGTAGATACAGTAAAAACAGACACCAGGTACAGGCAGGTATTCTTTTCTGCAAACAGAGGGCAATAGGGTGCTACTTACAGCAATTATATACAGATTGTACACAGCCTGGGATGAATGGAGGGTTAATTAGGGGTTCTGCAGCTAATTGTTGCCCCATGGCTCCCTTGCGAGTCAATACAACGCTGCTGAAGTACATTTTTAAGGATTTAGTTCTCACAAGACTTGAACTTTTCTGTTCTGATCTTGAGATGATGATTGCAGACAGACCTGTCATAGTTTCTAGATTTACAGACAGTTTGATTATCAGTAAACACACAGTATAGTATTAGAACTGCAACTAATGACTGTTTTCATTAATTGATTATTCATTTGGTCCATTAAAAGTAAAAAAAAACATTCATTATACCTCTACTGTTCAATGTCTTGGCTTTACTACTAAAGTAAATTTAATTAATTGTGCAAGTGATGATACACCTTTATGGAAGAACCTTAACTGGTGATTTTCATTATGTATTCATTTATAGATTGTTTTCTTGTTCAGATTGTCTAGTTTGTCCAGCCAGGGACTAGAATTTAAGACAAAATCAGGATATCCTTACATTTAATGTTTGCCTTTTTGCTTAAAAATTATTAAAATCCATCCAGTTAATACATTTTCCACCTCTACATAAGATAGAAAGGTCATAGTAGGGTCACATAAAGTATACATACATCACACAGCTCCACCGAAACGACCTCTTCTTCCACCGACTTTACATCATGCCGGTTGTGGTTCAGTGTTTGTGCATTATACGTTCAGAGCTCACGTCACTGCACACACACACTGCACAGATTATGGGGTGTGTTTACCAAACCAGCAGCCAACCCTTTGACCACACAGGGTCGTGTAGCGAGCTACCTAGCTACCCCCGAGGCCAACAATACCAGCCATGTACAAGTCTCAATAAATAGAAGCTTTGATGGCGGCTGCTGGGAGTTCCAGGGAGGAGGGGTGCATGCTGGAATACCTGGCGTCCCGACCGGAGGTGGTGGCGGTGTGTGGAGTAGTGTCGGGACCAGAGGAGAGAAGTGGAGGTCTTGACAGTGTGGGGGGAGACTTTACAGGGAAGTGTTTTTATAGAAGCAGACGCGTCACCACACTGGAGCCACAGGACACACTAGCAGCAGTCAGCGCAGAGGCAGAGAGAGTAAATTTGGCAGATTGACTCAAGAGAGTGTCAGGGGATAAATTAGATTAACTAGATGCTTAAATAATCCAGAGTAATCTTGAAGAAAGTATGAGGGGGTAATATGTGGAGATGGAGTGAAGGGGGATATGCGACGTCTCTGCAGGTCATCATAAGTGAACCTTGTTCTCGGGCCTCTCTGCCCACCACAGTACTAACAGTAGCTGTGTGTGCCCAGGCAGTAAGGCCATGTAGTCCTGCCCATGAAGTGGCTACATTTCCATCCCTCCCCCCCTCAGCCCTACTGCTTTTCCCTTCATTTGCTGGAGGAAGGCTTGAAGAGAAAAACAGCACTAACGGTGGAATAAGAGAGATATCTGAGGTTTAGATGACGCTAACGAAGGAATTCGGGGTAATTCCACCGACTTAATCTGTAGTGGAGATGAAGATGTGCGTTAACTCTCTGGGTGCAGATACGTGAGTGGAAACACACAGTTCAAGATGCATTTCAGCCTCTATAACTCCAACAAAGAGGGCCAGGAGATGAGAAGATAGATACCTATGTTTGTCTGTTACAGCCGACAGCTGGTTAGCTTAGCTTAGCACAAAGACTGGAAACAAGGGGAAACAGCTAGCCTGGCCCTAGCCCCCCTCTGAAACCACAATGTGTCATTTTTACACTTTGGTGTTTGTACAAATTAAACAAACAGCACAAAGCGTGTGAATTTGAATAAAATACACAGATTGTGACTGGTTTGAGCAGCCTAGCCTAGCTTTTATATTCGCAAAATATTAGCAAACTTTACATGTTGTTGTGATTTTTTTAATGCGTTTCTGCTAGTGTAAGTGTTAGCATTTACTATTATCCCTTATTTGTCATTTGTGGCCACACTGGCTGCGGTTCATCAAAAGGCTTGCTGTTTCCAGCCTTTATGATAAGCTAACCATTGTGATATCTGTCTGTTACATATAAATATACCACAATGGCATCAGTCTTCTTATCTAACTCTAGGCAAGAAAGCATATAAAGGAGTATTTCCTAACATGTTGTACTACTCCTTTAATAGTGTCTTAGACCACCAGCAGCAGGCAGTGGAAAGAATAGCCTGGCCTTTCATGTGTAAAGATAAATAGTGGTGGTTTTGGTTGACATGAGGGCAGACGGAGAGAGGAGGAGGAGGAGGAGGACAGACATAGACAGTGACAGGGGGGGATCTTAAACTCAAGCTTTGAGGAACCAAAATGTTGCTGAAAATGTAACTTTTTTCCAGCATTATGACTGCCAGTTGTCTTTGGCTGCGATAGTCTAGACAGACTTCTGGGTCATCGTGACTGAAATGACATCAGTGTTTTCAGATTGTGTGTTTTATTTGGCTTTCGGTTCCTCTCTCATCCCTCCTTATGACCCCACAACAAAGTTTCCCCTAACGAGTTCAGCATAAATCACAGGGGCATGTGAGGATTTGGTGTTTGTGTTTTTAAGAGTTCGTAAACGGGATAATGTCACAGTCACATGAAGGAACGACAATAAATTCAACATGCTGAGTTACCTCAGTGTGTGTTGGCTGCTGTAGGGTATGTACGTTAACAACACCCTTTATGTCCCTTATTCACCACACAATCTGTGACACATCTGAGCTCAGAGGAGCAGGTCCAAACAAGCTCAGAAGGTTGAATGAAAGTAGAAAAACACCCACAGGTTCACACAAGCGGCCAATCCCTTATTTTTCGTTGACCGAGACGTTTTCTAACATGTTTTCAGGTGGTTTTTGTGTTGTTCCTGGCACGTCTGACGAAGAGCAGACTGAGTAACACACAGAGAAAGTAAAACAGAAAGAAGGAGGTGTTCATTATGTGTTGCAAAAACTTATAATTACTGCCTATAAAATAAAAGCATATCACTGTACTTATATTTTTTTCAATTATTTGAGATATTTGTGTATAGAGTCATACCAAAACACTGTACACTCAACATAGCAGCCAAGATAAAGGAAGTTTTTATGGTTTAAGAGAAAGATTTTCATTTTGATGTTTGGACCTTCAGATGAGAGACTGCAAGCAACTATCTTTAAGTCTCTTATCTGCTGCCTGCTATTTTACTATCTGCAGTTTCTTGATCTATTAATAGCGAAAAATTGCAGTATCTGCAGTTAAAAATTGCAACTTGTATATTGTAAATGGCTATTTTAGCTATTTTAGTAGCTTGTTAGGGTCCATGATAGTCTACACAGTGTACCTTTCAGAACACAAAGTCTTTCTACATCCTACATATTTGATATTTTGGGACATGTTTCACCTATAAAATATCATATACATTGTGAAGTTATTCAGTTGGTAAAACAAATCCACATCACTGTTGGAGATTCTCATCTTTTTCTAAAACAGATAAATGACAGAATGATACAGGATACCTCAGCAAACACTGTAAAATTACATATTCTCTGCAGCAGACTCAGTAGAATATATTTATCATTAGCCTTGCATTTGCTCATTATGCATGTTTGGTGAACCAGATGGCACGGAGAGCTTGATTTGGGGGGATAAACAAGGTTCAAGTGAACATTTAGAGCATTGTATCACACTAAAACACCAACTTTATATGGCTGTTCACAGGTAGAGGAAACTGTGTCCACCTTGTTCATCTGTTAAGCTTTGTCCAACAGAAAATGAAATAACAATCAGTATCTAAAATAAAAATCATTACTTTTTCTCTCTCCTGTAGGCTTGGCTGCAGCAGTATGGCTACCTGCCTCCAGGTGATGTCCGAGCCCAGGCCATCCGCTCACCAAAGACCATTGTAACAGCGATATCAGCCATGCAGAGGTTTTACGGTTTGACTGTCACCGGCTCCATAGACTCCAACACGTTACAGTGAGTCCTGATCGACAGCAACGTTTTTATATTTATTTATATATATATATATATATATATTTGACCTGAGATTGAAAGAGGATTTAAGAGTCTAAGAAAGCAAGGTTACCATTTACAGAACAATGTGTCCTCCACAGGAGTCTGAATGTTTTACATAGTTTAGAGAATTTCATTTTGATGTTGCCAGGGCGATGAGCAGGGCGCGGTGTGGCGTCCCAGACAAGTTCGGCCCGGAGCTGAAAACCAACCTGAGGAGAAAGAGATACGCCAGGCAGGGTCTGAAGTGGGACAAGTCCGAGGTGACCTTCAGGTACACACCTTCACTATTTGCTACTGAATGTCACATTATGCAATAAACACTTAGAGGTCCAACTAATGATTTTTATTGTTAATTCTTTATTTTATTGGTTGATCAATTGATTGTTTGAGCTATAAAATGTCAAAAATGTCCATCACAGTTTCCTAAATCCAAATGTGTTCAGTTTTCTAGCATAGAAAACCAAAATAAACGTGCAAAACACTGAATTTTAGCACTTTTGCATGTTGCCAATAAATGTTTCTGTCAAACGATTATTTGATCAATTGTTTAAGCTCCAATGAAAGTGTAATTTCTCAATAGTAGTGGAGTGATCGGCTTTATTCTACTTTTATTTAAGATACAGACTCTTGATTTAACATTTTACACTGAATACAAGACCAGAGGATGCAGACTAGAGTGGTCATGATATACCGGTATTGACAATGACCATTTAAAGAAATGTATTGACATGTTAATAGCACACATATGGAAATATTGTGTAAATACCCCGGTGTCTCTTAAATAATTTCTTTCCATTCTCACTTTGTGATTCATACGCCACCATAGTAGTAGTCAGCGGTAGTGCAACATGACACCCACCCACATCTTTTGAAAAGTGCTCCATGAATAGATCTTTCTTCCGTCGCGGCCCTGAACCTCTGTCTCTCCTTTCTTTATGACAGCATACAGAACTACACCCCTAAGATCGGTGAACGAGCCACAAATGAAGCCATCCGAAAAGCCTTCAAGGTGTGGGAGAGCGCGATCCCACTCACCTTCAGAGAGATCCCCTACAGTCACATCAGAGGCAAGGTCGACAAGTATGCGGACATCATGCTGTCCTTCGCAGACGGCTTCCATGGCGACAGCACGCCATTTGATGGCGAGGGCGGCTTCCTGGCTCATGCTTACTTCCCCGGAAACGGCATCGGCGGAGACACTCACTTTGACCTCGCTGAGCCCTGGACCACCGGGAACACCGACCAGGGAGGTAAGAAAGAGAGTTGAGGGTGGAATGGAGGACTGGGAAGAAACTAAAACAAACAAAACTAAATGTAATGTTTTATCTTTCTCTCTCTCTGAAGGTAATGATGTTTTCCTGGTGGCGGTCCACGAGCTGGGTCATGCTCTGGGTCTGGAGCACTCCAACGACCCCTCTGCCATCATGGCCCCTTTCTACCAGTGGTTTGAAACAGAAAACTTCCAGCTCCCAGACGACGACCGCCGCGGTATCCAGGCAATCTACGGTGGGTTGCTCTTCATTGGGAATTTATTGGATATATTTGCAGCGACGTTCCTCTTATAACATCCAGAACCTTTTACCACCCACTGTTCCTCAAACGCAGCAATTATTTCATTGTCATTAGATTTGCAGTTAGTTAGTAATAAAACAAAAGAGTGAACAAATTGAAATGTTGACCGTATGATGCTGTCATCCAGTAGTTGTTGAGATATTTCAGTCAAAACCTCAAAAGTCAGCTTCATGGTGGCGCTAGAGTGAAAGTCAGAAGATCACCAAAGTCAGTAGGATTCTTTCTCTGGGAACAATGAAAGTCTGTACAAAATTTCATGGCAGTCCATCCATTAGTTGTTGAGATAATTTAGTCTGAACCAAGGCGGTGGACATGTTGGGTTGTCTTTAACACTTCTCTCTCACAACATCTTTCCCACAGGTTCCAAGTCTGGAGGTCCCCCTCCTCCTCCTCCTCCTCCTCCTCCCCCACGACCCACAAAGTCGTCCAAGCCAGACCAAAGTCCAGACATCTGTGAGGGACACTTTGACACCATCGCAATCCTCAGAGGGGAAAAGTTTGTGTTTAAGGTACAGGGAAACGTTTTTTCTCCAACTTTCAAATGTCCTCTGTGACCAAATTCTCCCAGCAGCAGTTTCGACTTTACACAAACGTCCCAGTAAATCTTGACAGTGAGCCAGCGTGGACTGTGCCAGGACGCCGAAACTGAAACTGAACCGTGACCTGCTAAAAATGCCTGTTAGACATTTTTGTTTGTCTTGTGTAGATCATTAAACCTGACCTACTCTTTCTAGCTTGTACAATATGGTGCTCTTTCAACATAAAATTAGGTTTTTCCAACAATTGTAGAATTAACAATCTGCAACTGCTTGAATTTAAATTAAGTAAGTATGAATTTATAATGATTATTTTCATTATCAGTTCATCTGTTAGTCACTTTTTGGCTACATTTTGATTAATTTTATGTCTTTTATAATAGTTATTTTATTTTATTGCCTGTTTTGTTGAACCTGTAGTTCAAAACCATAAAAAAGCAAACATTTAGCATTTTTTTAGTTTTCTAAACTCAATTAATAAACAATTTGTTTTAGCATTAATGTGGATTATTTCAAACAAATTATATAATATATTCTGCTGTATTTTTAATCTGTCTGTTTGTGTGTGTTTGCAGGACAAGTGGTTTTGGCGTGTGCGTAACAACAAGGTGTTGACAGGTTACCCGATGGCCATCAGTCACTTCTGGAAGGGCCTGCCCTCAAACATCAACGCCGCCTACGAGAGGGCTGATGGGAAATTTGTCTTCTTCAAGGGTAGGTACCAAGTGAGATTGAAACCAGATCTGGGATGATCGCAGCTGCTCGAGTGATGAATTTCATGTGTTAACTGTTCTTCTTTGATCTCTTTTTTCTCCGATCGTTCCCCCCTTTCTGTTTTATGTCTCCCTTTTTCTCATCCTTCTGTTTTTCCTTCTCTCTTCAGGTGACAGGTACTGGGTTTTCAGTGAGTCCACCATGGACAAAGAGTCCCCCAAGAACCTGAAAGACATGGGCACCGGTTTACCCAAAGACAAGATTGATGCTGCTCTTTACTACACACCAACAGGACAGACGTATTTCTTCAGAGGCACCAAGTGAGTCCGTCCTCTATTCAGGGTTTATCACACATACTTTAAGTATTTTTTAAACGTATCTGATCTCGAGTTTCTTTTGAATTTTATCTGTGAAACAATGTTTCTTTCTGAGGAGGAGAAGTGAGGCAGGTTAAAACAAGTTATTCTTCCAATGTGGCCCCCCTTTATAAAGAGTACTTCATTGTCATCCTTTTACAGATTAGATTTACAGATCCTAGTTTTTCTATGAAACACTGCAGCATTCATGTATAGATTGAATCTTTCCCCCTTTTCATCCAAACAAATACTGCTCATACTTCCTGTACAGTTAGCTTGTTATAACTTGTATTTTTTCCGTACTTATCTGTGAACTTGTTATAAAGGTAGCATCTGACATGTCTATCCTCTGACTCACACAGGACACTTCCTTTCTGTCTTTAATTCAGTTGCAGATTTACCAAAGAATAGTAGTAGTACTACTAATGCATATACGAAACAAAATGTTGTATAAAGCCTTTTGAGGCTCCAGACGGAGCTGCGTGAAGTCCCATAAATTGCCTCAAGTGATGTCACTCTAGTCACAAACTACAAGTTTAAAAAATTAATCTGGGGGTTTGGATTAAGAAAGAAGTGATTTTACCAGACCTCTATCTGCTTGAGGATTAGCATGACACACACTCTATGAATCTCCAACTGAACAGTGGGCAGTCTGGTTGTGGGTAATTTAGGGTTTTGACAAGAAAGAAAAAGGCATGAAACTGTCCCCATTGTGAGTTCATCAGTGTTATAGGACTGAAATGTTAAATTGGTTGAGTGCTCTTTTAAAGCCTGACAGTAACTTAACAGCCCTCATTTTGATTTGATTAAATTTTTTTCTTTCTTTAATTTGGCCTAAAAGCCTAAAAGAGTCTAAAAGAAATCAAGAATCAGCCTAAATGTGTAATTTCTGCATAATTGTAGAACATAAATCCTCCTTGGGTTGTTAAAACACCCACATACCCAAAAATAAAAACTGAGGACATAAATCTTGATGTCCCCCTCTAAACTCTCTTTATTTTAGGAAATAGTTTCTTATACTGCAGCTCTTTAACAGTTTTGTGTATTTGTGCCGTTTGCAGCTACTACCGTTTCAACGAGAAGACCCGCACCGTGGACAGCGGTTATCCAAAGCCCATCAGCATGTGGAGTGGCGCACCGGATAACATCAAATCTGCCATCATGAGCGAGGATGCATGTAAGATATCCTCATTTAACTGATCATCTAGATGTTTATCGTCCAAAGATTGACAATTATTTCTCAATTTCAGCTTCTGAAAAGTGAATTATTTTCTGTTTTTGTGATAATAAAGTTAATATCTTTGATTCTTGGACTGTAATAGAGCAAACAACAGCTGTATTGTGTTTCGAATTAAATCAACTGTCAAAACTGTTAAATCTCATGAAACTAATCTCCTTATCTTTCCACTTTCCTCAGCTTACACTTACTTCTACAAAGCCAACAAGTACTGGAAGTTCAACAACCAGTACATGAAGGTGGAGTCCGGCTACCCCAAGTCCGTGCTCAGTGACTGGATGGGCTGCGAGAACGAAGAGCCCAAGAAGGGTCGCGAAGATGTTGTCAAGGAAGCGCTGAGTGGCTTCGGGCCAGCGGCTGTGGTGATCCCTATCATCCTTCTAGTGCTGGTTGTGATCACACTGGGAGCGCTTTTGTTCTTCAGGAAGTACGGCACGCCTCGACGCCTCCTGTACTGCAAGAGATCCCTCCTGGACAAGGTGTAAACAGAGCGACGGGGTGATTGACAGACTGCCACAGAGGGACAGAAAGAGAGGTAGAGAGAGAACGAGGGCCGAGGGTGAAGATGGAAACTGAGAGGGGGAAGATGTGAAAAGAGGAGGAGAGAGCGACTGAGAAAAAAAGGACAGAAGAAATGAGGGGGATTGATGTGTTAAAATTTTGGGTGGTTTGTATGTGCCACAAAAGAGAGAGAGAGAAAACAAAAAGGCCCTAGAAACTGAAATCAGGAAAAATGTGTATTTGTATGTTAAGTATTTACATGTACTGTTCTGTGTCCAGAGATTAACAACATACCCACGATCTCAAATAGAGAAGGGAAATATACAAAGAGACTCGTGTTCATCAGCAACTTCCCTCCCGCCTCTCCTCTCTCACATCCCAGGTATTAAAAAACAAACATCCCTCCTTCCTTCCTCTCCTTTAACTGGACGACTCCAGCTGAACTGCTGTCTGATTCTTTTTTTTTACAACTTTGAAATCTGTGTCTCACCTTGGGTTTTACTCAGAAATTCATCCTCTCTGAAATGCATTTGCTGTCTGAAATGTGTTTTTTTTGTTTAACTCTGAACTTCATTCATTTCAGTGTGACATTTTTGCTCTTTAATCCATCGTTTTGGCAACGTTTTGATATTCGGCTATGCAGTATTTTCTTATATTTCTCAGATTTCTCTACCACTAAGTAGGGCTGGGTATCGAACCTCATACTTCTTTAATACTGCCTGAAAATGTGTTTACAGCACATACAACACATTTTTATTTTATTTTTTTAAAGTTGGCATTGAAAGTCTGGACAGATTCATAACCTTTTTTTTCTTATTCTTGATAAGAATTTAAAACAAAATCTTGCCAATTGTAGACTGTTTTATTAAAGTTTCTGTACTGTTGCCCGTGTTTAGACAACATTTATGTTTGAGAAAAAATGCTCGTATTTCTCAAAAAAATCAGCACAAGCACAGAAAACATTCAGAACGATACCTAGCCTTACTACTGAGAGGATTCTCACCCATCTGCTAAACTCTAAAGATGACCATGTCCACTTTTAGTTAGCTTACATTTGGATGGATTTGATGGAGTTCAGTATAACAGCATGTCCCTTATGCACAGTGTTAGTATCGATCGATGCAGACTTTTTGAACATGCACAGATTCATGGACAAGAATTAGTTTAACCGGGATTATGTCCACAAAAGTCAGACTTAACATGAGTCTGCAGGAAGTGATGACAGTGTAGCTGCATCACCTGTCGAGACATCGTACAAACACATTTAAAGGCACAAAGTTTGATTCACAGGCAAAACTCTCTTCTTTCAGTGCAAGCAGTCAGATGGGAAAAAGTATTTCTTTAAAAAAAAATGTAATGTTTTATCTCACAAATGACAGTTTTAAAAACATTCCAGTACGTTTGTTGTTGAATACGAACAGAGCTGCTTCTCCAAATGTGTCAGTAAGCGGTACAGTTTCCAACAATATGGTGCAATTCTTTTTTTTATTATTATCATTGTTATGGGAAATTGTTGTTATTATAAGTATGGTTATTGTTATTATTGTTCTCCTGGTAAAGTTATAATGATTTTTTTTTTCTTTTTCTTTTGTACATTGTCATTTGGAGTCCTGCTGGACAGAGGCATAACGTGACAATGGTGGAAATGAATCCCAGTTTACACTCAGCATGTGATGAATTAGATCAGATCAGGGGGGGTAAACGTGAGTTCAGGGAGTTTCTTTTTACTATGAAACACCTGAAATTACCCAGATGTTGGCACAGATTAACAAGCAATACTATTTATGAACTTTGATGGTGCTCAATGATTCTTTTTTTTTTTACACAAATCAAAATTGAAGGTGAATTCATTTAATTAATAACAATGATAATGGTAATGATATTTATAATGATGATCATATCAATAAAATGGAATGAGATTTTTTTTCCCCCGCCTGTTTTCACTTTTGTATTTCATTAGATAAAGTGAAATTAAACTATTTTCTACAAACATTCATCATCTTTTCCCCATTCTTTCATAATCTCATCATCTCGCCAGTTTCTGTACACACAAACTTTACACAAACACACTTTTATGCTGAATTTACTACCCAAAAATTAAAAAGAAAACATTAATCCATTTATTCTGAAGGGAATGCTGCTTTATTAAATCACTGTGGTCTCGTAAAGAACTCTACAGATCTTCCCTTTTTTACATCAATGATCTAATAAACTGCCACTATCCTTGTTGTTAAAAATCCCACATAAAACCACAAAATACATAGTTGTCAAGATAAAAGCACATTTGCTTAACATTTTGGCAATATAATGTTTTAATTTTGACATTTGCTTGACTGCCTCTGATCTCCTGACTTAATGCTATACATGATAAAATCTAAAGTACACACAATTGTAGTTACCGGTACGTACGATTTTGCTTCCACACCATCCACATACATGAGGGGGACAAAATGTTAGACACACTTTTCAATATAATAATAAGTCCAGTACAGCAGCACAACCCACTACAACCTCAGTAATAAACATAAAGTAAAATGATCACCTTTTCTTAGAATGGTGATAAACTGAAGTTGATGATGCGCTATTCTGGCAGCTTTTGACCATGTTTTATTTTGAAAATCTCACAATTAGAAAGTCTTTCGCTACCATTTCCGTACTGAATGTTTAGTTGGAGATAAATGTGATTGGAAAACATTATCAACAGCTGCAATCTTTTCTACTTTTTTCTAGTCCTTAGCTTCTCCTCCCCCAATAAGTGCTGCTCTGGAGGATTATGATGTCCATCAACACCACACTTCAAAAATCAATCATTGGGATATTAAAGTTTGTTATTATGCATGCTTCTATTGTTTATTTGAATCCCTATTAGTTGTTACCTTGACAACAGCTAGTATTACTACACAGTATAATCAAGAAATGATTACACTTTGACTAAACCTCATAATGCATTTACCACATTAATCTCCACCCATTAAAACAGAATGACAAATAAAATTAAACATACATTTAATTAATCTGAATATTCAGTTTGTAAATAAAACCCCCTCCACTCAGAATTATGTTTTTCTTCTTTGTTCCTACAGTTGGATGTTTGATCTTCACTGTGCAGAGTTTGATGCTAGAAAGATGTTTTCACATCTCATCTGCTGAACGTGGAAGAAGTTTCCTCTGTGCCAATTGAAAAATCTGATTTTAAGGGGCCTACGAGCATGATTTGTGACATCACAAAGTTTAGGAGTCAATCCTGGTCCATTATGAAACTTAAATAAGTGTGATTCACCAGTGTAAATACACTGAGAATGGACTTTACAGTGAAGTAGGAGACATCTTGTGTCCAGCAGAAAAACTTTAGAAATAAAAAGAATTGGCACATTCATAGATTGTGGAACATTTAATGGAGGAGAAGGAGTAGATGCCTTTTTAAGGATTTTAATGTGGAAATTATACTTTTATTTGCAGATTATACATATCAGACACAGATTATTGTTACAAGCAGACTATTTTAATGTGTCTTAATAAATGTCTGGAGGAGATCTGTAAAAAAACAACAACTTTTTTTACATGTTTTATTTGCATGCCTGACTTAAAGAAATTGAGATGTGGCTCTCTGCATAACCTGACCCTGACCTCCCTGTAGAGGAAGCATGCAGGCAAAAGATAAATAGTTGTATTTGTTCATGATAACAGTTCAAAGACAGACAGGATAAAACAAAGAAGAGTGACGTCTTCAACACCTGACCTCTAGACCAGGACTGACCAGGTTTTTGCCTGATGGAGGGCCACAGCAGTCCGGATACAGTTACACCACCGACAGTTGTTTTGGACGTGGAGCCAGCCAGTCATGTGCCTAGGAACGAGTCGGAAAAAGTGATGGAACAGTCACATTTTTCAGAGAAGTCCGTTCCAACTGAGCATCTGGTATTCTTGAAACATCTGAAGCTCTCGGGCCAAACCCCGGTTGCATGTGTGTGTGCGCATACTGTATGTGTGAGTGTTCAGGTTTATTTAAAAGAAGCTTAAGCCCCGGCTTTCTCCTCATAAAATTAATTGTGAAAACGTGTGAAGAAAAATTGTGTGTGAAAGAAAAAGAGAGAGGTGAGGTGAGAGAAGTGACAAGGGCAGTAAAACAGAAATTATTTTATAGGGTTGGGGATATTTTTCCCTCTGCTCATTTCTATCAAAAAAAAAGAAAAATACTTTGCAAGCAGCCTCACTCTCTCTCCTCCCTCTCTCTTATTTCCTCACCCGCTGCAAAATTGTTCTTTTTATGAGGCTTCAGTCTCAAACCACTCCTCCTCTCACCACAAGTATCTCTAGTCTGTTTTTGCTCTTTCTTTCTCTGCCCTTTCCTCCCCCTCTTCAACGCCTTTCCTCATGCTCTCTGTTTTAACTCTTCACACGCTTTAGCAGGGTAACGGTAAACAACAACAACAACCACGGTTAAACCGCACGTTCGAGGCAAACAACCACCAACATATAAAACAAAATTGCTGAAAATCTGGTTGGTATGCAATTATGGTTTAATCTCTTAAAAACCCCTATTTTCAGGTAAAAGACATTTTCCAGAATACATGATATGAATTAGGTTACTTTTACATATAAACAGTAACTTTTAGCACTTTAAACTGTTTACAGTTCTGATTTTAAAGCACTTTGTGTTATATGAGTGTATAAAAAGTGCTTTATAAATAGTTTTAATCTTTTCTAATGATTGGATCTTCAACAGTGACATCACGGTGTACTGACACACCCTGAAGTACACTTTTACGTCACTGCAGCGAGGTGCAAAGTTAAACCACTGGAGGTCAGCAAAAACAAAAATTTTCAGCAGGTTTAAAGTTGCTCTTTAATGTAATAAAGACATTTTAACAGGAGAAGATATCAGTGAATCTCAACCTTCTTCTCAATGAACGGTGGAATGTAACTCAAATACTTAAATACATATTCCAGGTACTTGGACTTTAAACTTACTCTACATCCCAGAGGCGAATATTGTACTTTTTACTCCACTACATTTGTCTGACAGCTTTAGTTACTTTTCAGATTACAGGTTTTCATACTATTCCTGTCCAGTGAAAACCATGTATCTCCAATTTTTGTTCCTTTTTAAATTGAAAAATGTTTCCTTCTACTGAGAACCCTCTTGGATTCACTGGAAAACAGATTGTCACAAACAAGTTGTGTTTCTGAGCTCATGAAAGTTTTTAGAGATGCGTGTCTCTCACAGTACAGCTGTACATTAAACTACACAACAGTATATAAAGTTGTGTAGTTTATATACAACAGCCGTAAAAAAGCAACATACACATTAACGCAGCAGTAATAACATCATATATAATAGTAAAACACTGACAGACGTGCATTTTACTGCAGAATGAGTACTGATTAATCTTGCATTCATTGATAGTTTTCTCCTGACTCTGTCTAAACACGACAGCTCTTCCACAGCTCCACAGAAGCAAAAAGAAACTTTAGAAACCTGACTTGACTTAGTACAGATTTAAAGATTAGCTTCATAGGTTAAACTGAACACAAACAGGTCAGGCTTTATTTATATATGTTGATTAGTTAGACACTGGATTGTAGCACTATTTGTGTAGCTTCTGTGGAAGATTCATGACTATACTGTAAACTAACCTGACTGACCCCATCATTTCTATTTTTTCTGCTCACATCTGTTCAGCCACTTTTCCTCCTCCACTGGCCAAACTGTCTCTTTCTCTCTCTGTCACCTGGTGTTTCCATTTATCTCACTGGATCGTTCTCATGCACAATAACTGTTTTGACTAATCCATCTTTAGAGAAACTTCCACTGTATCATGGACTGTGCAGGAAAGCTTAATATTTTGTTAGGTCACAGTCACAAAAGAACTTATCATAGAGTTTATGGTACTACTTTCTATTAAGGTACTGTTTATTCATGGTTTAAACATAGTAACTAATGGCTTTATTGAGTCATTTTTGTGCTGACATGTTGTGAAAAGTCCCTTGGACCACACGGAAAGAGGATATGGATGAAAATACATTGTGTAACAACTTTTTAAAAAAATGTGTCATGTTTCCTTGAAAGAACTGTTCTGAGTTATTTGAGTTGTGTTTATAGGCAGTTTTCAGAGGAATTATCTTGAAAGACCGACTGGAATTCGTTTAAACCAAAGTAATTCATTTATTATTGAAAACTCTACATGCATTGTATGCTGTGGTGGTCACTTCTGATCCCTTCAGTTGAAGCAATGTCTACAAGGTTCTGGTTTTAGTTGAACAAAAAGTGAAAATGGGTCATTTTGAGACCTGAAGACAAAAACATTATCCAGTAATACAAAAGGAAAAAAAGCAAAGATTACGGCTTTCCTATCCTTTTATTTGTTGTCACACAACAACTCTGCATTGTTGTGTGACCTTCTGGGAGGTCAAGACTCCTCCATTTGGAAACCAACACCCTCAGTTACACTAGAATTTAACTGGAATTTGTGTAACAATTCAACAATATCTCCATGCTCCAATTAAATAGTTATTTCCAGGAAACTTCTTAAAGGCACCCTCCCCTCAGAAACATGTTCTTATTCTTGTTCCTACAGTTGGATGTTTGATCTTCACTGTGCATAATGATGTCTGTGCAGAGTTTGATGCTAGAATGATGTTTTCTCATCCATCTGCTGAAAGTGGAAAGTTTCTCTGAGCTCACTGACAATGTAATTTTAAGGGGCGGGGCCTACGAGCATGATTGGTGACATCACAAATAGTTTGGAGGTCAATCCTGGTCCAGTATGAAACTTATAAAAGTGTGATCCACCAGTGCACACACACTGAGAATTGACTTTACAGTGCAGTAGGAGACATCTTGTGTTAGAAATGAAACAACATTTGCATATTTATAGATTCTTTCATTTTTAATGAGGTCGAAGGAGTAAAGGAATAAATGCATGTTTGCTTGTTGTTTATGTTGTAATACATATCTGGAAATTCTCTTTTTGGAAATTATGAGGAAAC